GGCCCTTGGGAACACTGTGGAGAAGACTTGGGGCCATGGAACCATCCATGATATCTGTCCACCCTTAACACCAGGCTCCGTCCCCACCCCAGCCCCAGCCATCCAGGGGGCTGGCAGGGTGGTTAGAGAGCTGCCACTTGGGTAAGAAGCTAGTTGCCTCTGGTCTCCTGCCCTGGAACCATGAGAGCGCTGAGGCCAAGCTGTGGCCTGAGCCTGAGTCCAGTCCTAGGGTCAAGAAGGTGGCAATTACAGACTTCCTGGTTAGGGACAGGGTTGAGGGCTTCTCAGGGGTCAGGACCGCCAGTAAGGAAGGCAGGTCCTCTCCAGGGATCAGCCCAGCCCCGAGCTGCACGGGTTTGGAGGTGTGGTTTGCCCCTCTGCTCCATTAATGTGCCTCGGCCCCTCCCCTGGCAGGGCCCAATCCCCTGCCCACTGGCTTCCTCCCCAGGTGGGCAAGTAGGTGGGCGTCGTGCGAGGTCCCTCCAGTTGGGGAACCTGCTTTGGAGCTGAGCACAGCGAGGAGGGCATTTTTCAAGGATTTTGCTGGCCCTTTTTTTTTTTTCCTGTGAAATATAAGGATGTGCAATTTTTTTGGTTTCAATTTAGCATTGGAGAATTTTATAATTTAGTAATTAAAATCTCTGATAGGCTTTAGAAATTGCGGCTAATTGAATTTAATGGGAAGATGATTTTCAATTTTATTTGATTACCGGGACCCCTGGCATCGGTATTTATGGGAAAAAAATGGGAAATGTGCTGTGTGGGCTAAGATGGCATAATTGAATTAGGGATAATCGGATTTCTCCGTCATGAATTTCACTATAATTTTCCTATAATTTTCCATTAGATATCTAGTTTACAAATATTCACAAAGAAATGAAGCTCTTTCGGAATGGAGATTGCTGGCTAACAGGATTACGGGGCCAAGCGTGCGGCTGTGCCAGCCCCTATCCCACCATCATGCAATCCCTGGCTCTGCCTCACACTCAGCTCCAGCCTGGCCCCAGCCCCTCGCTCCGCCACCCGCTCCGCTGCTCCCCCTGCCCTTGGCTTCCTTCGGCCCTGTCTCCCCGCTGCCCTGACACCCACCCTCCCGTGGCCCACCGCCTCTGGTGCCCTGGCAGGCTGTCCTGTCCCTGTGCCACGGCGTCCTGTCCACACTTCGCTCGCTGACGGCTCTCCCTGCCACCCTCCCTCCGTCAGCCTGGGAAGCACGCTCACACGCAAGCACGCGGACTCCCTCGCAGGTGCGAACATGCTTGCTCACATGCACACACAGTCTTTGGCCAAGGCTCCTGTGCCCTGGCCCAGTCGCCTCGGAGGGAACCAGTTTATTGGGATCCTGGGGTGGGGTGCAGGAACAAAAGGAGCTTTGTTCAAGTTTATGTGAAAGTTACAAATTCAAAATGAGAGCAGATAAAGCATGAGATACCTGGTGTGTAAACAGGCTGGTGAGTGAGAAGGCCGCAGGCTCGGGAGGGAGGGAGAATGAGTGGGCAAACCGGGGCTGCGAGGGGACGGGAGCCAGCGGCTGAAGCGCGCCGGGGAGCCGGCTGTTTCCGGGGCTCCCGTGAGGGGCCTGGGGTGGGATCGTTGCCCATGTCTCCACTCTTTCTCTCAGAGGTGAGGCGTGTCAGGAGGAGCTGGTGGCTCTGGGCCCAGGGCCTCGAGACCTGGAGGGATTGTGTCATTGGGCTGTTCGTCCCCCAAGTCCCAGGCACAAATGTCCTGACCGTGGCCTGGCCTCAGGGTCTAAGGAGGTGTCAGCACATCAGGATCCTCAAGTTAGAAATGGGCCACAGATGCCAGAGTTCTGGCCTCTCCCGTTCCTACGAGCGCACACCCAAAGGGAGAGAGACAGATAGAAACACGGGACCCCTCCATTATGCGGCCTCTGACTCACACCCAGGCCCTCAGTGGCTCAGCCTTCTTCTCAGACCTTCTCAAATCAGAACACAAGATGGCCTCGTTTCCTGGGCCTCTCTGGTCTGTCCGCGGAGGCCCCTCACCCTGGGGCAGGGCCTCTTAACCCCACAGTCGCTGACTGTGGCCATCGCCTTGGCAGGGCAGAGGCTGTCCGGGCAGCCCCCGCCTCCCTCCACCACTGGCTGCACTTGGCGGTCCCTCTGGCTGGCCCTGCCTGCTTGCCTGCCTTCCAGCTCTCTGAGTTCTGTCCCTTCGGCCATTCCTCTCCAGTCTTGGTCCACCAGAGACCTCAGAAGTTCTCGTGCAGCCAATCCAGTTGGCCTTGCCTCCTGATCACCATCAGCAGAAGCCCCTCAGGTCTTCAAAAGGAGGCAGCAGGCCATGGGTCATATCTGCATGGAGCTCCCCTTACATGAGATGCCTTCAAATGCACCCAGAAATCATCCATCTGCCCCTATCTTCAGGCTTCCCTCTGCAGCCATTGCCCACATGGGGAAACGGACACTCAGGATTGGGGTTTGGGACTGACTCTCTGTTGTTACAGCCCGAAGCTGTAGACCTTGCTTTGGGAAGTCATGGGTGGGTGCACCCCGAGACGTGTGTGTACCCCAGAGCAGTCCTGGACCCAGAGATGCCCTGTCTGAGGTCCTGCATGGGGAGCAGAAGCTCATGGTCCTCTCTGCCCGGCTGCCCTGTGCCAGCAGTTGTCCCAGCCGCTGGGTCGCGCGTGCCTCGGTTTGTTTAAAGAGCTCCGCTCCCTTACGCAGAGTTTGAGGGACAGAGGACACTCGGTGAAGCTTCTGAGCCTCCACCTACTGTTCCTACAGGGGTCTGGGGCAGGCCTGAAGGGTGGAGGGTTGTGTGACAACCGGGAATGCCAAGAAGGCAGTGAGGTAGGTGAGGGATGCTAACCTCCCTGTGAGGCCATTTGAAACTAAAGAGCAATCCAAGAAAAAAGAAAAATAAGGGAACGTGGGAGAAGGAGTAGATTGTCAACTGACGTCTTTGCCCCGAGGCCTCCGTGGGCCCTTGGCTTTGCAAAACAGAAATATTGCAAACACAGGCCAGCACCCATTTGCTGGGTGCCGCCCAGAGACCAGAGAAAGCCAGGGGTCCTGGCCTATGGAAGGCAGTGTGGCCTCCCCTGAAACAGGAGGGTGGACGCAGCCAGGACAGAAGGAGAGCTGGGGGCAGTGCCATCCAGGTGTTTCACCAGCTCAGCTGCCTGCTGGCCTGGCTGCCTCCTCCCCTGAGCCCCCCAGGCCCAGTGCGTAACTTGGCCACTAAAGTTTAACTTACCCGGCATAGCAGGGGCGTTTGGGGGCCATGGCAGAGAGACCCACCAGCGTGCCTTCTCAGAGAAAACGAGGAGGGGCAAGGAGTGGACAGAGGCACAAGTGTTAGGACGCTGGCTCCTTGGTTGAGGGGTGCCTGTGCCCCCCCCCCACATCTGCTACGGGGAGGCGGGGCCCAGGTGATGACACTCAGATAAATGATAGAAGCTTCTGCCCTGGCGGGAGGAGGGAGGAGAGAGGCCTGAGACCAGGGCTGTGCAGTCCGCCCGGGTGGGCAGGGCACCAGGGCCATTTTAAAGGCAAAGCCAAACCCTAGCGGCGGAAGCCCGGGGGCGGGGTGGTAGTGATGGGGGGGCGTCCCCCGCACTCCTGGAGCCTGCCGCGAGTTTTTCCCTGACACACCACGCCCCACCGCCCAGAGATTTTTCTTCTTCGAGCTAAAAAAGCAAACCACCACCAACACGAGGTTCGGGTCCCAGCTGGGGGGGAAAACAACCCTGGGACGCCGGCCCCCCGAGTCCGCGGGGCGCGCGAGGGGAAGCACGAGAGCGTGCGGCTCGGCTGCGCGACCCCGTGGCGCTCCCACCCGCGCCCGCCCGCGCGGAAAAGTTTGCGCGGCCGCGCGCGCCGCGAACCCCGGGCTGCCCGGCGCCGGGGAGAGTCCGCGCGCCGCCGCCGTCGAGTCGCGCCTGCGAGGCCCGAGCGCAGAGGGGAGCGTGGGAGCGCGAGCCTCGGCCGCCGGGTCCCCCCTGGCCCCCCCCTTCCCCGAAGTCTGAGGTTCGGGGAATCACTGAACCCAAAGGCCGGCCGCCCCAGCCGGTGCGCGGCAGCCCCGTGCGCACGCGAGGGAGCCGGCGGGGGCGCGCGCGGGGAGCGGGGGCGCGCGGGGAGCGGAGAGCGGGGGCGCGCGGGGAGCGGGGAGCGGGGGCGCGCGGGGAGCGAGCGCAGGGCGCGGGGCGGGCGCGCGGCGGGCGGGCGGGCGGGCGAGCGCGAGCCCATTCACTCCGCGGCCGCGGGCGCGCGGGCCGGGCTGCTCTTTCACCTGCCGGGGCGGCGCGGGCGGGCCCGCGGGAGGCGGCGCCGCGGCCGCCCTGCCAATCACCTCGGCGCCTGGCAGCGCCCCCGGCCGCTCCCGCCCGCCGCTCCCTCCTGCCAAACTGTTACCCTGAGTGTTACCGTCAGGAGCAATGACATCAGGGCTTTAAAACAACTTGTTATTCGGGGAGTAATCAGTTGCAATTAGGCATTAATTAAGTATTATGAAAGTTGATTATTTAAGTGAATTCGGCTTTCGACTCTCCGACTATGGTGAGTACCCGAGTGGGGCGGGGGAGGGCCGGGGGCGCGCCGCGGGGCTCCGACCCGGGACCGGCGCGGGGCGGGGGGCGCGGGCGGGGCGGGGGCGGCGGGAGCCGGGCCGCCGATCGGGCGGGCGGGCGGGCGGGGGCGCCCCTCTGCTTCCCGGGCCGGCCGGGCCCCCCGACCCGGCCGCGTCTATAAATAGTTTCTCTTTTAGTTTAATAAACTCGGGAGCGGAGCGGAGCTGCTCCGATGCGTGTGCGATGCCCGAGCGTGAGAGCGACGGGGCAGGGAGGGGAAGTTTCGCTCTCCCGCCCCGGGCCCCCTGCGCATTTCGTCCCGGGTCCCGGGGACCCGGCCGCCCCTCGATGGGGGGCGCGGCGCGCGGAGGGGGCGCAGGGGTGTGGAGCGGGGGGCGCGGCGAGAGACTAAACAGAGTCTTCTTTTCCTTCCCTCTGCTGTTTTCGGCGATCCTGGAAGAGTTTGGGACCAAAGAGAGGAGCATGGATCTCGGTACAGGTACTGGCCGGTGGGAACCTGGGGAGCTGTTTCACTTTTCTTTCGGTTCTTTTACGGAAGTTATTATTTTTAGCCCAATGAGGTCGCGGCGGGGCGGGGGGCGGGGGCTGGGGGGCGGGTGCTGGCCCTGGCCCGGAGGGGGTCCGTGCGGCCCCGCTTCTCGCCCCGGTTTCTGGATTGCGAGGCTTCCTTCGGATGATATTATTGTTATTATTTGCTACTTGCTTAGTGACTATGACTAATCTCATGCTTGTCATTATGAAAGAAGGGAGGGGAGAGGGAGCTGGGGGGCACCCAGAGAGAGGATTTAGGGGTTTTTTGTGGGGGTTTTGCTTCTCCATGTCTTTTGAATGGCACCGTGTGTTTTCTGTGTCTGTATGTGTGTGTTTTTTTCCCCCCGCAGAGATCTCTGTGTCTGGCTGTGGGGTGTGTGTTTTTATTTTTTTAGTGGGGGGTGGTTTAGTTTTTGAAAGCAGCGTCCTGTTGGGAAAGGTGGTTAGTCTGGTTTCGGGGCGACTGTCTCAAGGTAAAGGAATTTAATTTATTTGGGACAAGGCTGTGTCGGATGATCAAGCTGCTTATTATGGCTAATGAGTATTTTTCACCTGAGAATCCGTGGGATGAGGTGGCTGTTATCAGTTCAAAGTGTTGGGCCCAGGACTGGCTACCATCCCCCTTCCGGGTCCCCACCCTGGGAGGGGGTAGACCAAAACCAACGACTAAATGTGGACTCTGGGTTTTGGGGGGGGGCTAGCGTGGCACCTAGGCTAGGGTTCCATGGGCATGGTGCAGGCCTGGCAGAGTGTATCCAGAGATCTGGGTGTTTTCTTGGTTTTAATCTAATGTCACTCCATATTTCTCTTCATTCCCCATCCGGGGTTCTGACCTAAGGCCCGAGTGAGATTTACCGTCAGGCTTCCCATCAGCCCTCTCTTCTGAAACCAAATTCTGACCAGGACCCTCGGATCCCAGGCCGACAAAAGCTGGTAGCTTCTTCCTAAATGTTTTTAAAAAGAAGTCAGTGATAAACAGGTTGATAGTTCGTTGAGACTGACCTCTGAACCCTTCTGCTTCGTTTATAGGAGGATAAGTGGTGTTGGTGGCTATTAGAGTTGCTGTTTATAATGGGCCCAAGTTCGTAGCGTTGTCCCTTGGGACCCATGAGCTGACATTCGACCTTCTGAGGTCAAAGGGGATTGGACAGAGAGGACAGGAGGGCAGCGCTGGGGGGCCCGGGGGGGGGGGTGACATGGTGGTTGGCTTTGGGTAGGGGATGTGTGAGGGGGAAGGGGTCGCGCCCAGAGGGTTAAGACTGTGTCCAGCCAGGTGTGACCTAGGTGTATCTGATGTGGAGGTCCTGGGGACCTTTGTGCCCCGGAAGGGTGTGACACCCCCTGCTGGGCAAAGTGGTGAAGGCTTCTGCTGCCACCCTGCCCCTCCCTGCCCCTCCCTGCCCTCCACTCCCACACAGAAGCAGCCCGCCCCCACCTCTAATCAGGTGTCTCATCGCCGCCCTCTCAGGCCCCAGCCCCTTTCTTCGGAAACAGGGCCCCCACCCATCCCTATGAGGAGCAGGCCTTACGGATGGGCTGGGTGAGGCGCCACTCCCTACCTGGGGCCGGGCCTGTGCTTGTGGGCGGGCACAGGGGACCCGGGCATTACTCAGCTGGAAGGCGGGCCCTCTGTATTCCTCCTTCCAACCTGGGTACCAACTGGAGCGGGCATCCACCCTCCTGCCCTACACCCACCAGTCCTCCCCAGTCTACGGTGGGGGCACGGCGGCAGAGCCCTTCTGTAGGGTGTCCCCGACTCGGGGGAGGGCTCCCTGGGCTTGTGGGTGGCAGAACCTCTTGCAACATCTCTCCTGGGCCTGAGGGAGACTGCTTCTCCCAGCACCCCGGTGACAGGCCCTGGAAGCTTTTCCTAGAAGCTCTTAGGGCCCCTGAGGTCAGCCAGTCCCTCTTGGAGCTGGAGGGAGGCGCTCCCAGCAAGCCCCAGAGCTGGACTCTGGCCGCTCCGTGAGGGGAGGTCCAGGGAGTCAGGGTTCTGACTCTTTCTTGGAGGAGTCATCTGGTGATACCATCTCAGCCTTTTCTTTGAACCTGGAAGTTTCATGTAATCTCAGAACTTCAGAAGAAAACACTTTCCCCCGTTCACACAAAAAGGGAAGCAGGTGGGAACTCTGAGATCCCCTCTGAGCCACCTCTGGCTACTCCATGGTCATCTTCCCTCCATCTCTGGGATGTACTTCTGGACCCGGCCAGGGCCAGGGCCTCCTGTGTGGCCAGGGCTCGTGCTGGGGCAGTTAGGGGCCCTCTTCTTTTGTGGGACTGTGGGCAGCTGCCACCCAGGGCCTCTCTAGAACAGCACAAGCTGGAAGCACCGGCCCCAGATGACTGCTGGCTGGTACCAGGGACCCAGTGAGCACTGGACCGTGGGTTAGCATCACCTCCCGCCTCGGCCAGGTCTAGGCCCTGAAGCACTCCAGCTCTAAGCCAGTCAGTCGTGGGAGAACCCAGCTTCTCAGGAGGGGACAGCAGGATCTCCAGACCCTCAGGGGCCATGTGGGCCCCTTTCCCCCCACCATAGTTCAGCCAAGGGCTGGATCAATCTGGACGTCTTTAGCAATAAAAAATGCCGATGTCGTCCTAATTCACCAGGCCCCGAGATGACAGCAAATTTACATTTTTTAATTAAACTAGCAGCCAGTTTTTATGAGAGGGGGTTGGGTTATGCAAATCAAATGGTTGTGTACGGAAGATTAGGAGAGTTTGGGAATAAATTCCACAAATGCTAATAAAAAAAAAAAAGGAAAGAGAAAGAGAGGGAGGGAGGAGAGAGGAAGAGAGGAGGACATAGTTCCATTAGGCCCTTTTAGAGTGATTTCCCTGGGGTCGGGAGACGGGAAGGGGAGAGGAGGCCGGAGGAAGCTTTCAGACGCAGGTAAATCCATCCACCGTTGGGAAGCGCCCCAGGATTAGGCCCCACTAGGCTGAGTTGGGGCCGGGTGAGAGTGGCTGCGGAACAGGGTAGAGCTTTGGAAAGGAAGCTGCCCTTTCCTTGTTTTTCTGGGATCTGGTTATAAATTGTCCCACTCGCCCCAGGAGGAACTCGAGAAGAAGGGGAGGGGCTGTTCAGGGTTAGAGCTGTCCATCAGAGGATCCAAGGTCGGCCCTGACAGGTCAGGGGCCACGTAGGCAAGTTCAAGGGGGTGGTCAGGGACCGCAGGGGGAGCCGACGAGGGGCTGCACTGCCCTCCTGGCACCAGGGCCGCAGCCATGTTGCAGAGGTGGGTCAGTGGGAGGAGTCGAGGCCACTGGCTGAGCCAGGCCTGCTGCTCTTTCCTGGATTAAGCGCTGCTGGGACTCCAGGCTGAGGGCCCCTGCATTGCGTCCAGGTCCCCATTGCCGCCTGGCCCCAGCCTCGGCCTCGGCCGTGGAGGAAGCCAGGAAGGATGGGGTCAAGGGAGCTGAGCCAGGTTGGCTTGGCAGCCTGGTTCTGGGAGTGGAATCTCCTAGTCGCCACGTGCTTGGAGGGCACACAGTCTCAAGGTAGGAGAAGACTTTTTTCAGGCGGCATCTGGCCCCAGTGGGCACAAATGTGGTTTTCCCAGCCCAGCCTCTGTGTGGACTGCTCAGGCCCCTGCTGCCCGTAGTGCCAGCCCCCTCCAGACTCTCGGGACTTCGGCGAGCCTCCCGGGCAAGGCCAGCTCCTTGCCAGGAATGGAGGCTTCTAGGAACCTGGCCGGCCGGCTGGCTCTGGTTACACCTTAGGCCCCATGTGTATGGGGAATTGGGAAGGTTCCTGTGCTGTTTCTGGAGAAGAGACTCCACGCCGGGCTGGGGGCAGAGCAGGTTGCCTGCCCTCGATTTTCCTCCCTCAAGCCTTTACTTGGCCAGATCCACCCACTCGACCAGTCTGCGCTGGGGCCAATCCCTGCAGTCAGGTTGGGCACCGGTTCTGCCAGTCTGCTGCAGGGGGTAGGTGCTCAGTGCCATCTTGGCAAGAAGGAGCAGGCAGAGCCCAGGACAGAACGGGCTCTCTGGGAAGTAGTGAGTTTCCGGGTACCATTCACACAGGCTGGCTGTGTGTGTGGAGGGACGGGAGCATCAGATGACCTTTAAGGTCCCCGACTCCCAGCCTGATTTGACCAGAGGATTCAGTGCCGCGTTCTCGTGGGCGGGGCGCGTGGTCGAGGTGAGCGGCACATCCATTGGACCCGTTCTTCGGCAGAAAGCATTCAAGGCAGGCAGCTCGGGACTGTGAAGCCGCCCCTTGAACCAGCCCTGGCTCGGTCGGTTGTAAGACGTCAGAGCAGACCTCAGGATGGAAGGCCTCGCCGGGTCGGTTCCCTCCAACCGGAGGCAGAGGCAGCGAGGGCAGGGCTGGAAGGACCCCACGGGGCCCCGCAACAGGCCCCTTTTCCCTGTAGGGACCAGCCAGGGACACCCATGAGCTGTCCTCTCCAGGGAGGGCCCAGGGCCGTGGAGTCGATCTCTCAGGCCTCACTGTCACTCCCATGCTCCCCCCTCCCCCCCCCCCTCCCCCGTGGCCAGGGAATCTGGCCGAGTTGCAGCTTGGGTTTTTTTATGATGGAAAAATAAAATAAATGGAGGCACCTTTGGAGGGCTGAGTCACGGCAGCAGCATCTCCTCATTAAAGCTGCTGCCCTGGCTCAAGTCCCTGGGCAGGGATTGGGCGGAGCCCGGCCAGGCTCCGGGCCTGACTCCTCCTCTCCCTAGATCCTGCCAGGTGAGCCGGGCGCTGGCCCCTCAGTCAGCCTCCTCTGGCTGGCCCACCATTCTCAGAAGGGTCAGGCTCATCCCCCGACCCCCACCCTCCCCGCCCCTCCACCCCCAGCCCCAAGGCTTCCTCTTTAACACTGCCCTCCCCGCGCTGGTTTTTTAAACCTTGACCCACTGGCTGCAGCTCCTCCCCCTCCTCCTCATTCTCCTACTCTTCCTCCTCCTCCTCATCTTCAGGGGGAAGGAAGTTGCTCT